TCAGGCAGCGTAAAGCGAGTTTGCTGCTTTGAAATGGAAACGTTTGTTAGAGAATATCCACTTGTGTAGCTAGAGAGAAGGCTGGCATATTTATGAGCACTAGATATGCACTTAAAGCTGAGTGCCACCAAATGCTCACATGCCACCCTGAATGCAGGGTTTCAGTGCACCTGGCATCCCAGTTCAAGCCCTCTTAACAAAGAGGAGAAAAAAAGGGAAGGCAACACAAACATAGGAGGGGTTCCTTTGCTGTCAGCTAACAGCTATAGATTTGCCTTTTTGTGATGCGATCCTAGCTTTATTTATTTTTTTTGCTGCACCTGTTCAGGATATGGAGTTCAGTGGGTTTTTACGGGGAAAAATATGGGCTTGTGACTGTCATTTGCATGTTCTTTCTTTCAACTGACACTGCTGGTTTTGTTCAGGGGAACGTGGCAATCATGGCTGTACATAATCTCTGCAGAAAACAATGCTTTATTTTTCTGGCTTGAAAAATGGTCAGCTAACCTTCTGCCTTCTCTGCTGCATTTATCCTAGCTCCTGCGGGAGGCAGTTGCTGAGCTGCTATCCAAGCGCTTTGTAATGACTTGCTAGGCTTCTTATGGTAAAGATTTTAATGAAAGTTTATATTATTCAAAAAAAAATAGTAGACATGAATAGATAGTAATTTTACTTTTCAAATCTTTACTTTTTTTTTTTTTACATGCGTCTTGTTGGATTCTTACAAAATCATGAAAAGAATAGCTTCTTAATCTCCTTCTTTGGAGATCTTTAAAACCCGCTTGGATGCAGCCCTGTGCCACGTGCTCTAGGTGACCCTGTGTGAGCAGGGGGGTTGGACTCGATGACCTCTGAGGTCCCTTCCAACCTTCGACATTCTATGATTCTATGATTCTATGATTAATACTAGTTATGCACTTCAGATACTCTTTTAGTTTGGAATAGATGGTTCTTAAAATAGCATTTCTGTTGGCCAGATCTCCTGCTTGAACTTATTTATAAGACATTATCTCCATTCTAGTGATAAAAGCATATGCTTATATTGCTGAACCGAGCTTCCCTGAGTAGAGACCTATCCATCAGCAACACATATGATGAGTACCAGGTTTAGGATGTCTACACCAGGGAGTGTGTTGCCTGCATCGCTTGTGCCTGCCCTTGACACCCTTCTGGGTGCCTCTAGGTGTTGTGGTCTCTCTTCTATCTGTTCAGAAGATCTCATTTCATCTGTACAGATACGTTGCCTGTGTTTCTTTTCTGTTAGCTGCTTCTGCTCATTCCTGGCTTCCTTTAGGCTCCCTGCTCTGTTCTGTACAACAGAGTGGTCCTGAACTCGTGTGTTCCTCCTTGTATTGCTCCTCCACCAAAAGAAGTTCCAGAGTTGAAAGTCCAGCTAAGGCAATTGTGCCCAAGATACTGTCAGCAGCAGTTTTAGTTCATTGCTGCTTTTACTGCATTCAAATATATTTGCAGGTGAAAACTTTAAAGCCTGGTGCTCTCTGTTAAACTCTGACCCTGTTAACATCCGTAAGAATTTTGCTGCTTGCCTTAATGACACAATTTTCTCCCCATGTGTGCGCTGGCCCTCGCTTTTATCTGCAGAGTGCATGACTTCTAGAGTTAATGCTTTTCGGCTGCTGGCCTGCATCTTGGTGTGTACGTGCAGCGCTGCCAGGGAAATCTGCGGGGTTCTTGCCGGCGGTGAGTTTGTGGGGTCTGGTCTGGGCGAGTCCCTGGGGCCGCCGCGCAGGCCGCGGCCTGAGGCCTCACTCACCTCCCGGCGCCCTGTGCTCGCCTCGCGCGGCCATGCGCCTCGCCTCGCCTCGCCTCGCGCGGCCACGCGCCTTGCCCCACACCTCACAGGAACTTGCAGGTGCTGTACAGCTGCCTGGGTGGAACTGCAGCCCTGCTCGTTTGGAAGGAGCTTTAAGGAGCGAATGTGCATTTAGGCTCCGTTCTGACTCCCTCCGCAGATATTCCAGGGATTGCTGTAGACCTCGCAGACCTTCCCCGTGACTGTCAATCTTTCTAGAAATCATTTGAGCTGTTTCTTTTTATTTTGATATGTCTCTTTTTTGYTGCACGAGTGTTTCACATCTAACCAAGTCCCATTTACTCCATATGTCGCAAGGAGCAATCTGAGGTTGGTTGGTYGTGTAAGCCTCCGTTAAAGGAAGTGGTGTCTTCAGACACCATACAGCAGGCACGGAAGGGCTCCRCAGAGAGGAAAGCACAGCTGGTCCATCATGGTCTGTCGTGGTTTCCATGTGTCCCACGGGCAGCATCTTTCTTCAGCTCTTCTTGTAAAAGTGCCTCCTAATTCCTTATGCTTGCGCCTCCTTAGGCTCATGGTAGTAGATGAGTCTAGTGTTTTTTACCCCTCTTTTCCCTGTTACCCGGCCCACATCTTACGGATTTGTTATGACAAGCTCTAGTCTCACATGATCCTTCCCGCGTGCTTTTCAGTCCTTTTTTCCCGTAGTAGGTTTCAATTAAACCTTTAAGAGAAAATGCAAATTACCTAAGAAAATGCTGGCTCGCTTTTGGCTTGCCAATGGTTATTTTTCCTTTGGGATTAGACCCTGCAAGGTACTGAGCACCCGCTAAAGGCACGTGAGATTGGAACTGGGTGTCATCATACCTGTTGCAACCTCCTTCATCTAAAAGAACAAAAAAAACCCTTGCGTGCCATGGCATTAATGAGAATGCAAAAATACAGTAACTGTGAAATAACATTAAAGTTTCTCTGCCTTGTTATGAAGTATTTAAATGTCAGTGCCATTTCTGAGACCATCAGGGCAGTTTTAATGGAAGCCAGGGTCAACAAATGCTAACTGGTACCTCTCTTTTAAGGCCTTCGGGGACTCCTAATAGAGTCTTAGCCGTGAAGTTAATTTGCGATTTGGACCTTTATTCTTAAATCTGGTCCCGATGATTATTTTATGCCATTTTTGTTCATGTGCTTAGATTTCTTATAATTTTCCTGTCTCTTTGGTCAAAAAAAATAAATTACTAAATAAATTAAAAAGAGTTCTTTCATTTTTTTCTTTTTTTTTCTTGCCTGCTTTTGTTTATGGGCTGGAAGAAAACTAGGTATGTGCTTTTTGTAGACCTATTCTGTCAGCTCTAACAGGATCCGTTAAGAATACCCTCACCATATCTCCCACAATCTTCTGTCCTGGGCATTTAAAAAACTAGACATCTTGAAACCCTTTTTTTCCCTTGTTGCCCCCCATAGTATCGTGGTAAAAGCAGGTGAAGTGGGATGTGAGAGGCAGAATGTAACCATGGGGTTCTCTTACTTTCCTTTTTCTGTTGCTGGTCATCTCTGTGTGTTGTCTAGTTTAGATTATAAGGTCTTTGTAGCCTTTACTTGTCTAGATATAGTGCAGAAAAGGATGGCACGCTACAAATAATAAATAACAAAAGTCTGTCTTTTKGGCAGCATGTTGCATTTCTGCGCAGTTGCCCTGCCAGCCCCTCTGACTTGAAAATATTTTCATGTCCTGCACTTTTCACCCAGTCCATGCACCTGACTTTCCTCAGACATTTAGTACTGACATTAATGCAAATGCCACCAACTCATGGGGCCCTTTGGGGCAAGACATGACATCCATTGCTTTCTGTCATAAGGTGGAGAGGTGTTTTTTTTTTTTTTGGGTCCACAAATCTGGGAATAATAAAATATCAGTATTCAGGTGCTAATCCACATTAATTCATATTCTATGAAGTCTACAAGAAACTTGTAATTGGATGCCTTGAAGGGCAGCAGAGTATATTTGGGATTTGTTTATTTATATATAAAAACAAGTATTTAAATAATACATATAAACATCGCATGGATTTGGGTTACATCTCTCTTCTAATCCTTGCTGGGTGCTGCCTTGCATTCTTAAGTTCTAGGGGTTTGGGGCTTCCTGATTTTCTTCCGCTGTGTGTGGGCAATACCTGAGCATTTTGTAAGCATTTTGAGAGTATAAATAATATTTTTCTCCCCATCACCAAATTTCACTGCTGCTGAGGTACTTTAGCAGTCTTTAACTAAAATTTAAACCTAGTTTATCTAATTAACAAAAAGATTTTTGTCAGAGCTGGGAGAGTTTAAATTGAGGACTATTCAGCTTAATGCACAGATCTAGAAACAGGAAAGCTAGTGCCTCAATCACTGTCATTCTAATGCGCACAGCAACTCAAATGCTTAACTGCCTAGATGAACCATAGTGCCAAGATACCCCAGCATGTAAGTAGGATTTTGATGTCTGTTGCATAATATCCACAAGTATAACAAAACCACTAAAATTTCCTTGCACTGGGTTGACAAATGTGAATTACGCTTGCTTKCTTTCTTCAGAATTTTATCAGAGTGTAATCACTTGCCCAGCTTAATTGAAAAATCACTTACGTTTATAGCAGAATTTAAACATGTTTTGTATTTAAATGACAGCTTTTGATGTACAACCATTTTTTACAGAAAGTAGTTGGTTTTTATCTGTGTTTCTGTAAAGATATTTCAAAAACKCTCATCAAATTTCCAGCGGTAAGTAATATCCCATTCAGTGCAAGGTGAAATGTTTTACATCAAATCTCCTGCTGTGTAATGGCCAATCAAAGAGTATTTATAGTGTCTGAATGGATTTTTTGGCTCGGTATTCAAAATTAAACATTTTCAAACATTAACATTTAATGTTTTTGCCACTCTTCAAGTTGATTTTATGTAACCCTAGATGCTCACAACTACTTGATACTCAGAAGTGACTCATTTTACGCTGAGGATCCTGCAGGCAGTAGTTTTACATTTATCGCACTTGTGTAGATGGAATGAAATGTAGATTTGATAGCAGACTTGTTTTTGTCTTTTGATAAACGTATTCTCAAGTTGGGCTGTATGTCTACGAGCACGATGTAGCAAGTCTAATTCTGAAAGAGCATGTTCCCCCTATGAAATTAATGGGCAGAGATTTACTTTTTTAATTCACCAGAAGTTGTTCCTCTTATTACAGGTATCCTGTAAGAAGAGCTCATGCCCGCAATGGTGTTTGGAGCTAAATGGTTCCTATCTAGGTATGATACGACCACAAACTTCTTATAAAAACAGCAGTGCATCAAAGGCTGGAAGCCCAGGCCATGCTGCATTGTCCCAGCCTTGCAGAAATAATTGTGACTGTGGGTCTGAAATCCATCACAGCCATCCAGAATGTGTCCAGGAATGTCCAGGCTTGCACAGAAAGTGCAATAATGTGATTTCTTCAAGCAAGCAAACGAGCCCTCACCGTGTAAAACCAGCCCAGCCAACAGAGCAGAAAGGAAACGAATTGCAGAGCCTCTGCCGTCAGCAGAGGAGTCACTGCTGCACCTTTAGGCAGGCAGGAAGCCCAGGTAACGTCCRAGAGAGCCACCTGGCCAGCCCGGTGCCTGGGAGACAGTCTGGACCCGCTCACGACACCAGTGGTTATTCCAGGCTCTCTCGAGGTTCTGGGCGAAATGACAGTGCATATGCTGGGTCCAAAGAAACAGAGGAAGCTAAAAGGCTCTCTGAAGAAAGAAAACAGCAGCTTCTTCTGCAGAAAATGGAGCTGGAAGTTGAAAAGGAGCGACTCCAACATTTGCTGGCGAAGCAGGAAGCAAAACTACTGCTAAAACAACAGCAGCTCCACCAGTCCCGTATGGATTATAACAGGTGATTTTTGAGATTGATACTAATTTTAAAAAAATCTAAAAAGTCTAATAAAGCTGTAGACATGGGCAGCAGTTAAAGTGGGGGAATGAAACAGAAATTTGTTCTAATAATGATTTAAAGGAGAGGATGCTTTTTAGTATGTTAGGGTATACTGTTGGGAAACAGCAGGACAACTGTGGAAAGCCGCAGAGGAAAACAGTATGTGGTAGAAAAAAAGGTGRAAGAAAAGCAGTGCTAAAACACTAGGTAGGAAAAGAGCAGTAGAAAAAAAAAATGAGACTGATATTAGTGCAGGCACTTTTTAAAGGATTGTGGACATGAGGCAAGAAAGCACTGTGAGCGTCGAGGATGGAGATGGGACATTTCCTCTCCTTTCCTGAGAGATCAGTTCTGAAATTCTGTGTAGGGTCTGGGAGCCCTGTCTTTTACAGAAACAGCTCGTTCTGTATGGAAGAAAGAAGGGAGCCCTGTGAAGTGAGGACATGTTCCTTGCTTCTACGTTTGTGCAAGAGAGGATGCCAAGACTGAGGCACAGCACATGCTTGAAACGAGAAGGGAAAGGCAGTAACCATAGAAATAGAGACTGTAGCTTGAAAGGCGCTCAAGTTTCTTGCAGAAGGTGAGATAAAAGTTTCTTGAAAATGTAAATGGTGACTGGTGATAGAGAGGAGCAGATTTTTTGTATCACCTCACGTAGGTTGGGGAGGAAGGGAGAGAAGGGGAGAGCGTTAAAGCCGCAGAAGGAAGAGGTGTGTGAGCCAGTGTAACGGAGCTGAGTACAAGAGTTTCCACATTAGGAAAGGAAAACAGTGGGGAAAATCTTGTTTTTTTAGAAGAGGCAGTAGGAGGATTTCAAAAGAATGCTGATTTAGACACTATTTTAATATGGTAACTGCTTACAGCATCCCACAAGAGTCTGCGTTGCGTGACCCACTTCCTACATGTACGTAGTATAATCACCAGAGGAATGTAGCACTTTCTTGTGTCTTAATCCCAGCCCTCCAGTTACTTTCCAAACACTAAAAGAGGACGCTGAAATTGAGGCGGTCTTTAATATGCCTTTTTGGACTGTGTCTTAGATGGAAAGGAGTGTGTTTACTTAGCTTGGAAAATGCCTGTTTTATCAGAGGCAATCACAATTCTGTGTGTGTTGGAAATGGCCGAGGTCACAAACAAAGGATTATGACTTCAGGTGATAAATAAGCAGGAACAGATGGATTCTTAATCATCAAATACCTTAATTCTAGGCATGCATCCCTCTAATGAAAAACAAGTAGAATATGAAGGACATGCAGACTGAGCTTTTTTTTTTTTTTTTTTTTATTTCCCCTTAAATGGATCATTTTAAGCCTTCTGTGAGGCATTATCTGCCCCCCCCCGCCAGAAAGGGACATTAAATATCTCTACAATGACATTCCTGTTAATGTCATTGTGTCTGTTTTGTCTATTTTTTTGAAAAATCGCATGTTTTTCAGAGCTCTAGTTGCTTTAAGAAGTGCTTTGAAAGGAAATCACGTGATCACTCTGAGAGCTCAAGTTGTGTTCGTGCCCTCTTTCCAGAGGTGCAAGTAAATGCATTTTTGTCATGTTCTTTCCAAGAACATAAAATCAACTAAAATATAATGTGCTTGCTCTTAAWATATATATATTTTTATATGTATTTATTTTATATATATGTTTATTTAGAAGTAAATGTTTGGTATTTATGGGTGGATCTCTTAAACGCCACAATTCTGTTTCAGTTCTAACTGTAGGATAACTTTATGCCCTGCAGACAACAAAAATATGTTGAGTTAAGCTCAAATACCTTTTGCCTCCTTGTCAGGAGGCTTTAACCTAGTTCATTTCTTACCATCATTGATAGTTAAAACCAAAACCACAAAATGACAACAACAAAAATGCACCTTCCAAAACTGAAAGTATATATTTTTAACCTTCTGCATTGATAGCGCCCTGTTTAAGGACTGCTGCTGACAGTATTGTCATTGAATCACAAGCAGGAGGTCTGACTGTTTGCAGTTATTGGCCATTAACTCTTCTATTTAGCAAGAATATGAACTCAATCTTTTTTTGGCCACGATGCATCTTAACTGCATTGTAATTCCCCACATTTCCATGCTTACCTCAAGTGAGCAACTTCACTTGCTTTTTCTCTTCATGTGACAAAGCTGCTYAGCTGTCAAAAAGAGCAATGTGGGTGCAGGGAAAGGGGCACTCAACCTACCAGAATAGATGGGAATTCTAGAAATGGCAAAATATTTTTYCTTATTAATAGGGTGGCATCTGGATGAGTCCTGGAAACAGGATTTTTATTCAAATAAAAAAGAAAGCTATTTTATTGCCTTCAGTGGGGGAAAGGATATTGTCCTCCATTAAAACTGATTATCATCTGTGGGCCCACAGTTTTAGGAGACAGACCCATCTCCTGCATTTTATACGGCTTTCATGATGCCTTTGTGCTCTGGTGCTGCTGGAGCTGTAAGCAGAGCCAAACAGGGGTGTTTGTTAATGGATACTGTGACCAGGCACTCAAGGGAGCAGGTCTTTTGAAACCAGTAAATTAAATTCTTCTAATCCTTTTTTTACCTAATGTTAGCCCTCAGATGTGAGGCACTGGACGTAAGGCACCTTTCCAAAAGACAAGTACTTTTGAAAACATGAGAACAGTTGGGAAAGCTTCTGCATTTAGCATGATTAAATGCCTTGTTTCTGGCCACACAACCTAGTGCTTTGTGGTGAGTTCCCAGCATGATGCTTTCACCAGCTGCAAAGCCAGTTATCTCTGCTTTTGCAGGTTGAAAGGCCGAGAACCTGGTTTGGAAGATCTTCCCATTGGTGAAACACCAGGAGAACTTGCTTTGATGATGAACGGCACCGACATAGGGCTAAGGTAATTTTTCTCTTTGCTTTTAAGTCTTTCGGTGTCAATCTRTCTTCTTGACTCTGCTGTTGACTGCACAATCTATATGCTTATATGTTTGCTTTTTTTCTCCCAAGACAAGATAAAATACTTTGGCTCTTGGGTTTGCCTGTCAAGCGCTGAACTCTTCTTACACGAGATTTGGGGTTTATTTCCTGTAGTGGTCTTTGATTTTGTTCGATATCTTGTAAGATACCGCCCTAGCTCTCTACAAAGTGAAGTTCTCACAAAATGTACTATTCTCCTCATATTTGTTATTTATCATTTAAGATGAGAATGTCTCTTAATCTTCCTTTGGATGTGAGGTAGCTAATATATTTATTTGCTTTAACACATAGATAGAAATGATTACAAATAAGTTGCCCATGAAGTTTTGCTACGAATCTTCTAGATGTACATTTTAGATTAAAAATCCTTTACTGCTGTGGAGTTCCATGCTTTTTAAAAATCCAGTGCTGCACCTGTGCTTCAGAGTAATCAGAGCAAACTACCACTGAAATAAATGGGAAATACTGAGTTAAGCTAATATTTAGTTTTATCTCAATTTTACATGCTATTAAACTCTCATATGAACATATTATTACTGTTTTCTTTATTATACCTTGTTGTATTTCCTGTTACCACCAAGAGAAGATGCTGGCATATTACAAAAACAACAAATGAAAAAGGGGAATTATAAATGTTTTTTTCTCTCTTCTGGAAAAAGTTACATATTTTTGTTCTGTGTTTTAACTCTGGTGACTCAAGAATYCCATCTGGTGAACAAGAAGTGTAGTTGAGTGGCCCCTTCCTTAAGGACAAGGGAAGTCTTTAAAATAATAAGCTCTCCTCTCCACTTCTGTTATGAACATACRGGAAGAACTGTTAATTTATTTATAAACTGAGGGTCAAGCGGTGTCTYTATTTTTCTTTTTAACCTCATTTGATATTGATTTTGTTTGTTTGGGGATTTTTCTTTTTGAGATTTCTTTCTGAGATTCCCTTTTCAGTGAAAAGGGAAAGGTCGTTGTCTTCAGAAGAACACGAGTTGTTGGAATTCTTGCTGCTTAACTAGGTGCTCAGCTGCGAGATGCAGTCCTGGCATAATCCTCACTGTATTCTAACTTCTTTTTTGCTTTATTTTCACAAAGACTGCAGTGCTCAACATTTCATCACTAACAAAAGAAGCTTCGCTTGTTTCATGTGCAGCAGCGTTGAGCGCCTTAGAGGGAAAATGGAACCCACAACATCTGTAGGGCTTCTTGGTGACACCTTACCAAAAACCTGCAAAACACTATATAGCCTAGGAGGGAAAAGGAAGGAAACCTGTGCTGTTTGCAGAATGAGAATTCCAGATTTCCAAAGGCTCCCCACCCTCTCTGCATTCCCCTGGTTAGACTTGGTGTAATTTTTCAAGTTAGAATGAGTTGGTGCAGTCCCAGGCTGCCCTGCCAGCTGGTTGCAAAGTTTGGCAGCAAAGCTCTTGGAGGTTTTTTTTTTCCTGTATACCTCCTTCAGTTTTGCAAAGGTTACCAGATGAATGCTCTGTAAATAATTTACTCTAATGTAAGGCTGAAAGAGGCTAAGGAAGACAAGTCCATTTRTCTCTCTCATGCATTTGAATATGTAAGCAATGTTTTCTTCAGTGTAGAGAGCGCGTGTGCAAGTGTGTGGCTGGGGCTGAGAAAGGAGAAAGGGATGGAAAGTCCGTATCATCTTTGAGCATTTTTTTCCTGTTTTCTCTCTTTTTTTTTTTCTTTCTTTTTCCTCCCCCCTTTCTATCTACCTTCTGAAGGTAGGGTCTTTGTTGCAGCAAGCGTATATCAGAAACATAGGAGAAAATCAGCCCTCTCTGACTTCCAGCTCATACATGAAAGCTTATAAAGCAAAACTCATAGTATGAAACTTGCTTTGAATCTTCAAATTAGCAAAAATTAGTCTASAAATATACTAGAATTTAAAAGAAATTGGTGAAAGTCCTAAAAATCTTAAACTTGCTGAAGTGAGGTACTGGAGTTTAGAAGTAAAATAAATAATATAATCAAGAACTGAAAAGCATAGGGTTTTTTATAATTAACAGCTCATTTTGAGTTAATTATCTACAATTACGAAAATCTAATTGCAATTTATTCTCTACTATCTGTGGGAAAAATTGTAAGCAAGGGAATGTGCATCACTGGCAGGCATAAATGCTATAGGATGGGTACAAATAATAGAGAAGCCCTTAATGAAAAACAAAAAGCAAATAGGAGTGTGCAGCTGTGCCAGGCTATTGAAAGGTAATTGTAGTCAGAAATGAGATATGTACTTTAAAAGGCATCTTGTCATCTCCTGTAGGGATTAATTTTTTGCCTACTTGCAAAAAAAAATACAAAAAATCCATGAGCAAATACAGAGCAGAGCTTGATCTTCATTTCTGTTTTGAGTCGTAATAAGCTGATTTGTGAAAGGGGAAACTTTTGTTGGGGGGGATACTTCAGATCAGAGCCAGCTTTGCTGCTTTCTCTTCCCTGTGCCCCGCTGTGGTTCAAAGGCCTCGTGCGAGGTACAGCAGGGGTTAGCAGGGATGGTTTCCAGCMCCTCGGGGTGCCCCTCAGTGAACCCACMACAGATTTCACAGAATCACAGRAYGGTTGAGGTTGGAAGGGACCTCTMGAGGTCATCTAGTCCAACCCCTCTGCTCCAGCAGGGACACCCAGAGCACGGGGCACAGGGCGGCATCCAGGCGAGTTTGGAGACCTCCAGAGAAGGAGACTCCACAGCCTCCSTGGGCAGCSTGTKCCAGGGCTCTGCCACCCTCACAGTGAAGAAGTTCCTCCTCACATGGAGATGGAACTGCCTGTGTTGCAATTTGCACCCATTATCCCTTGTCCTATYRCTGGCAACCACTGAGAAGAGCTTGGCCCCTTCCTCCCTACATCCCCCCTTCATGAACTTATACATATTAATCATATTATAATCAGATCTCCAGCACTGGAGATAGTAACTTGTACGATTACTGGCAAGGTGTCGCTTTGTCTGTGTAATTCCTTTTCAAGCCTTGCCCACTGTGCAAGACACTTTAAACTGTTCAAAATAAAACCAACTGGTGTGTTGGTTTGGCATCGAATGGGCTCATTCCAAAGCGCTTTCCATCCTTTCAGCGCTGGGGCCTGGTCCATGCTCCAGGACCTGCTCCGGGCGCCCTCCTGGYGCCTGCGGCTGCGAGGGGAACTCTGCAACAATCCACCCTTCTCCGCTTGATTTCATCTCGCCTTTGAATCTGGGTGCAGTGTGTTGTGGAAATGAGCCCTGTTCAATAGCAGCAGCAGCAGGTAGGAGTTTGCTGCTTTATGATACYCCTCTGTGGATGGTCCTGGGTGCCTAAATCTTAATTTGCAGAGCTCCCTGCTTACCCAGTTCTCAGGTTTCCAATAGAGCTCTGCCCGTCCTGCTGTTTACATCCCGTCCTTGGATTTTGCACAAGGCTGCCCTTGTGCCTCCACCCTAACCTGTGTAAGGGACATGGGATACATCAAGCAGTAAATGGGGTTAATTGTGACGCAGAGACATTCTTTCAATGTATCCTGCCTATTTAAAGTTTTTTTTTTTTTACCTGAAAATAACGATTTTCAGGTGTAATTTGTCACCTTTCATTTAACTGAAGGCTTTTAATGCTCGTGTGCTTCAGTCTGTGTTGCCAGGTTTTATTTTTTCCTGCTTATATTTTTAGTTAGTTGAAAATATCAAGCACAGAGTTTGGTAGCACTTTCCTGCTATTTGAGTGTTCATTGCTATGGTGATAGTTCCAGGAGGGAGAGCTATCAGGAGCCTTTTAGAAGGTTTTGTGTTTATGGTGCAGCTCCTTTTATTATCTTTCAAGTGAAGGTGACAATTATCTTTTGCTTCTTGTTCAACGTTTTGTTACACACACACACGTTTTCTGAGGCTTGTTAGACATGTAGACATCTTTCTGTGGTGGTGTGCAAGCATACTTCTGCTTTTGTGTCCAAATATTCAACACAATTAAACATAAATGCAGGAAAAATGCAGCCTTGCAGCTCCCCCTGCTGTTCCAGGCACGTGCTGTTTGTCACACAGTCTCCCCCCTTGCTGTTTTAAAAATATAACAAAAATCCCATAGGAGCCCCCAGCCCTGCCGCCTTGGTGGTCACTTGCGCGGTTCCCGCTCCTCCTGAGAGAACCAGTGTTCACAGGTGGGTGGCAATGGCAGCACCCATTTTGTTCCACGTTTGGAGTATTTCTGTCAGTCCTCCTCAACAGTGGCTTGTGTCACCTCCTGGTATCCACGTCCCGGGCCTCTGAACCAATTCATTGGGGCAGAATTTGCCCTTTGCCTGAGACCTCCCCAACTTCAGATCCTCTGCGAGTTCTCTTTGGTCTCTAGAGCTGTAGTAACCTAGCGCAGTGCTCAGGCAACTTTTATGAATTTATTGAATACRGTTTGAGGTTTTCTCATCTCTTCCCTGTTCTGAAGTTTGGCAGACTGGCACATTAAAAGGGACTGGAATCAACCGTGCCTTGCAAACGACTCATAAAATCTGTGTATCTGGCAACTGCTCCTCCACTTGTTAGTGCTCCCTTTAACACCCAAGCTCCTTTTCTCTGCCAGGGTGTTTTATGTAGAAGTTTGTATCATTTTTAGATGGGATATTTGCAGAGCGATCACTTGCTTGGCCAGTAAAGAAGCGCTCGCGGCTCTGCCAAAAGTGCAAACGCAGAATTAGTGGCAGAAAGGAGTCTTTCTTCCACTCGTGGAGTAGTCTGGGTATATATAGCCACAGCATCACTGCAACAGATGGCTGCTGTGGTCGACTGTGACGTAACCGGAGCGTATACACAGAATTAGCTATAYGTTTTTGCTTCATTAGTGCCATGTGCATATGCTAAAGGTAGTAGGTTTCCTCGTCCAGGATGAAGGATTTTGTATTGACGTGGTAACTAAAAGCTTGTTGCTAAATGGGGGGCAGGTGGGAAATTAGATTGATTTA